CATAAAAATAACCATTTGAGCGGTCATAACCACTTCTAAACACCGAATATGCCCAGATTTGATTTCCGTGACTGCAGTTACCTATATTTAGATATATAACATGTCCAATCTAATTTAAAAACCATCGAGTAACCCCATGACCACTCATGATTATTCCTAAAATAATCAAAAAGTGAAATAATCAAAAAGTGGCATTAAATCCAGATTTGCAAAAGTTTGATATAAAATGTTCTGATTATGCAAGACTGTTGCAAAATGATCATATTTTCTCTTTCTGAAAAGAATTTTTATTTTATAACTCTTGCGCTTTCCCACAGATGCTTAAAGTTATCATCTTTTAAAGTTTTAATGTAAAGTTGTCATTTTTAAAAAAACAATTTTTTTGTGAAAAATCAATAATTTCGAATTTTTATTTTATTTCTTAAACCACACCTGTAAACTAATATAATATATATCAATCGGAAGAGTATTAAACAGGCTTTCAGAAATTTACAATTTACATTACATTTCATGCCGTAAAAAAGCAGATAAAGATAAATTTTTAGACTAGGAAATAATAGTATACTTGAATGTAACTTTTATTAAATTCTGTATGTTTCTGTAAGAATCTGAATATGTATGGATAAATTTCTACTCCTTCTACTTTGATCCTTCTTCTTTTAAACCAATATAGGTATTGATGCCGCCCGGAACCGCCTAAGAAAAAAAAATTTCATTTTAAAATGTTAAAATTAATTTTTTTTTCTCACAGAACTTGACAGTCACAATCGTTTATTTCTAAAAAAAGTCCCCTATATCTAAGAATTTCTAGAAAAAAAATAGGTCGAAGACCAGTTCCCCCTTGACACCCTATTTCCCCACCCCCATAGTGTCAGCTCTGAATAAGTACAAATCATGAAATTAAGTAAAATAAAAATTTTTATTTCTTTTGTGAATGGTGATTTTATTAAAATTTCAGAATGTTTAAAGATTTGGTGAAGAAGAGTGTTCACAAAGAATTAAAAAAAAATGTCTCCAAAAGAAGAACTTACTATTCATTCAAGGTTTTACTTAATCTCAGTACTATTGGAGAGTAAAGAAAGTGGTGAAGATATCTATACTCTTTACAGCAATATTCTGGAATATAAAAAAAAAATGTTAACCAAATAATATGCCCATCTCTGACAAGAAGACAAATACACAATTTTTTAATACATACTGTATACTAATGCATACGCAAATCATATTTAAAATTGTAAATAAAGAAAAGGACTCAATTGAGTTGATTTTTGTTATAAATTAGGGATTTGATGGATAAATGAACTTTCTCATATTATAATGCAGTTATAAAACGGTAAAGTTTCTATTTTTAAGTTTCTATTACCTATTTTTCAAGCTCTTTATTTTTAACAGCCAATGATAAAAAATTTCTTAGCGGACACAATTGATAAATCGCTGAAACACCGTCTTATCAACTGTGTCCGTTTCATAAAGCAACACCTATTGAAATGAGCCACATTAAAAACTACACAAACAAATTATGTAACACTAAGAAAACATTTTTACTCTTTTTGGAGAAGTCCACTTTATTGATGGATCCGTTTCATGAAATATCTCCTATTGTATAAATTGGATATTAGCCAATGGCAAGCAAAAGGAAAAACTAATAAAGATTTTGTAAAAGCTCAAAAAAGCCTTTTACAAAAAGTTTGAGAAAAATTAATTTTATACGCCGATATTTTCTGCGCGCTAAGCATTTTCAGCATGCTAAGCATTTTCTGATTCAAAATTGTTATCAGAAATATTGAAAATAGATAATAATCGTATTGTCTATTTAAGAATAATATTCTTTGTTCTGTCAAAGTCCAATTTATTCAATCAATTTTGAAAAATATTGTTTACAAACAGTTTTAATCATCAATGAGAATAACTCTTGGTATAAAATTTCTACTTAGGTTCATAAAGTTTTTGTTCATGGAATTCAAATTATGGTTGAAATAGTTTTATTAGTTTAAACTTTTGGCAAAAATGCTGGAAAAAGTCTTCACAAATGTCATAGAAAAGACCGTTTGGATTATGCAAGTAAAACCTCAAGAGTTAACAACTATTATTATACATAAAAAATCCCTTAGTTCATTTAATTATGATACTGAAATTTAAGTATTGCCATACGATACTGAAAGTCATTTAGTTAACTACATAAAAGAAATGGATTGTCTATAAGTGACATTGAACGAGTTGCCAGTATGTTAAAAAGTACAAAATAACTAATCCATTTAATAAGTATAATGGCGCTGCAGGAAAAGATTGTAAGCGTGTTTTTAAAGAGACATCCATACCTTTCAATCAGAAAGCCTTAAGAGTTGTCTTTAAATTGTGTTTATGGTTTAAACAGCAGTTTTGTGAACATTTATTTGAATAATATAGAAGTTGTTATGAAAAAGTGCAAGTTTGAACCTCATCAAATTTTTAATTGTGATTAATCAGGCATTACAACTGTTCATAAATCTGTTAAAGTTATAACTATAAAAGGAAAACAATCGCACATCTGGAATTTATCTTTTGTGTCGGGATATAATTTCAGACATTAAATTTAATAATGACAAAAGCCTAACGCCAACTTACATAAACCTGATAAAATTGATTTAAAAGTTAATTCAAGCACCTTATTACCTTTGTTGTCAAGATGTTCAGAAAATATTGATTTTAATGTAGTAATACCCTGCTTTTCTAATATTTTAGCTATTTCAAAGATCACTTTATTACCAAGAAAAGGAGAAGAATCACAGACAATAACAACATCACATTATAGAAAATCACTATGAATCCTCTGAAATCAAAAAAGTTAAAAGAACAAAAAATAAAAATTAAATGTTCATTAGGGTAAAGAAAGAGGTAGAAGTTTAAGTGTTGAAAACTGGGAATGTTTTTGTATTAGATTATGGAGTATGGTTGCAAAAGTAAGTAGAGTCAATGTTTAAAATGTAGAACTTAGCCTCGTTCAGAATGATATTAATTTCTGTAAATACTGGTGAAACATTATGTGATTTATGTAACTAGTGACAATTTGATTGTGTATTATATTTGCTTGATTATATATTATGTATCATTATTAGCTGTATTATATTATAAAATGTTTATCTTGCTAAACCTCTGTAAAATCTGTTTTGTTTATCATTATTTATTTAAATTACTTATTAAAAAAATCTCATTTTGCTCCACATAGTGGGGCAAAATGAGACAGAATAGGTGTTGCAAATAAATGATCTCTGGTGACCAAACCACTGCAAAATTGCAATTCATATTTTGTAAGGTTATAGTAGGATGGTAGAAGATTTAAAAAATATTAAGTTTTTTCTTCAAAAGTTCCTAAACGACCTGTATTAGATAAATTAAAGCTTAAGTGTCTCATTTTGCCCCTCGCTACCATACATTCAAGTATACTATTATTTCCTAGTCTAAAAATTTTTTTATTTCTCTGCATTTTTACGGCATGAAAGTAAATTTATAAAACATTTTGCACTAAAGCCTGTTTAATATTCTTCCGATTGATATATAATATATAAAAGTTCACAGGTGCGGTTTTAGAAATAAATAAAAATTTTTAATTATTGCTTTTTTAGTAAAAAAAAAATTGTTCTTAAACCCTCTCTTTCCCGATTTATGAAATAAAAAAAATTACGATGACATTCAATATTACTATTACAATGACATCAAAACACAATTGCGAATCGGCGCATTTTTAAATTGCACATGTTGTTATAAAGTAGGAAGTAGCGAATTAAGCATTATTTAAAATTTAAAAAAAAGATAAATATAAAGATACATGGATTGATTTTTGAATTTCAAGTTTGTTTTGCCAAATGGCAACATTGGGAAAGCAAGGGTTAAAAAAAGACAACTTTGAGCATCTGCGGGGAAGCGCCAATTGTTCTAAAAACTTCTACTATGAGTTCGATATTAATAGATAAAAAAAGTAATTTTTATAACTAAATTTACGTTGAGATTATTTTAAAATTGTGCAGTTCATAGGATTTTAAATCTTGTATCTGGAAAAAATGTCATCTTTAGGCATTGCTCTATTATTTCCATATATTAATATTTTATTTCTATGACAAAATTGTCAGGAAATTACACAATTTTGATGCAAACATGTTGCAGGGCAAAATGAGACATATTTGTTTTTGTTTTGCCGATATCAACCATGTTTATTTAAAAACTATATGAGAAAAACTAAATGTGGCAATTTTTCAGATAAAGCAGTTTTGACATTTATTGTAAATAAAGATGCTTTACACAGAAGGATTTAAAGAAAATTAAAGAGTAATCACTTAGTTCATTCAGATAATACTAGTCGGTTCTTTTTGAGGATTCACCCCCCCCCCCCCTCATTTTATTCGTAGAATCCTTTGTAGAAGCCTTTGAATGTCTCCATATGGCTAGAATATTTGTAGAAGCCTTTGAATGTCTCCAAAGTTTTTAGAAAATTTAGAGTCAGTTTTTATTTCGAAAAATTTTGTGTTAATGATAGGTGCGAATAACAAGTATAATTATTCTTTTCTTATGATAAAAAAGGCAAAAAGTTTAATAAAAATAAATAAAGTCTTATACAATAAAACAGTGTTATACAAAAAGTATTACTTTACAAACGATAAATATAAACATTTAAAAAATATTTTGAGGGAGTTTCTATTTTGCAAATTTTACAGTTGACGTGTAAAATAGGTAAAACATCTTCTTTTCTTATGATCAAAAAGTCAAAAAGTTTAATAACAATAAATAAAATTATATAAAATAAAAGAGTGCTTTATAAAAAGTGTTACAATACACACCATAAATATAAATAAATATTAACAAATGAAAAATATTATTCTTTGATTTGTGTAAACTTGCGTTCAATAGTCTATATCAGAAATGTCTTCAAGTTTGATAGAGGAAGAAGTGCGACAGGTTACGTGAACTAACCATTTCACTGATATTGTGATACTTGTACACGTTGGCATATGTTTTATATATTTTGGGTTGTAAATTAAATTTTAGAAAAATAGCATTTAAATTAATTGGAAAAACAATAAAACTCAACTGTTTTCAAAAAGGAATTCCTAAATTTATTTTTTTGGAATGCTTGTTGACGCTTGTAGCTTAATCACTAAAAAGATGTGAAGATAATATAAAACACATTTTAATTACTATAAAACACACTTTAATTACTATAAAACACATTTTAATTACTATAAAACACATTTTAAGTACTATAAAACACAATTTAAGTACTATAAAACACATTTTAAGTACTATAAAACACATTTTAAGTACTATGAAACACATTTTAATTACTATAAAACACATTTTAATTACTAAAAAACACATTTTAACTACTATAAAACGCATTTTAAGTACTAAAAACACATTTTAACTACAATTAAACACATTTTAAGTACTATAAAACACATTTTAAGTACTATAAAACACATTTTAATTACTATAAAACACATTTTAATTACTATAAAACACATTTTAATTACTATAAAACACATTTTAAGTACTAAAAAACACATTTTAATTACTATAAAAACATATTTTAATTACTATAAAACATTTTTAAATAAAATTTATAACAAACGTTTTCAAAATAATATAAAATAAATAAATAAAATAAAAACATATTCTTTGCCGAAAACAATTTAAATAATGACCTCTAGTATGAATGAATGAAAAATACATTTAATAAAAATACTTTAATAGAAATTTTACATTTTGTGATGCATCTATTGATGTGAGTCTCTTTTTCAGCAAGATCTTTGAGTGCTGCCTTGGATACAAGTTCATTTTCTTTTTGTTTTTCTTTTAAAAGAGAGATGTTAGTAAAAATGTTTTCAAGGATTTCTCTTTTAGCCGATATACCTTCTTCATTTTCTTTTTTTTCAGCCTCAAATATAATTTCATTTATATCAGCTAAATTCCTTTCGGTTCGCTCAAGCTTGGAAGTTAAGTTTCGAATAACAGATTCTGCAGACTCTTTGCTTACATCTTCTTTTATTATCTGCAAACATTTAGGAAATTAATCTTACTATTTTAATAATATATTTATAAGCATGCAAAACAACTATTTTATACAAATTTATAATAATGTAGCATCAAATAAAAAAAACTACGTATTTAACGCCTTATTAACACAGAGCTAATGATCATTAGGATTACAAAAATGTTTAAAGTTTTGATAATGCTATTATCATATGTATTTTTTATTGTGACTGTCTTGATAACATGTTTACTACCTTCATAACATATTTCTTCAATATCAAATAAAACTTAATTTATAAAGTGCCCTTTTAAATAAAAATAAACCCAGAATTATTATAAAGACATTTTATATATTGCTGGAAAGCTTATTCTTTCCTTTAAATAAAAAACTTGCTTATGAATTTTAAACACGTTAAATAATCGCACTTAACTATTTAATATTTATATTAAGTAACACAAAGTGTTTTATAAACTACTTTTGTGTTACTACTAAAGGATGTTACAACTAGGTAAGGATGGGAGGAATAAAAGTTGAAATTCTGTATAATTTCAAATTCAAAAGCTTATTTTGTAAAACTCATTTTGTAATACAGAATGTAATGTATACGAAACGCAATTGTTTGTTTGGTGATAGATACTTTTAATCTAATAGATTTTAAAAATATTTAATAAAAAATGATTTGTTAATTTGAAATTATTATAAAAATTATCTATTCTAACAAGTGATAAAATAAATGATTCTATATAGATATATTGCACAAAGTTTGATTTGTTTTTATTAATTTATATTTTTGCACATTTAACTTTTAATTAACTTAGTTAAATTTTTTATATAATATACTTAAATATTTATGAAATTATTATTTAAACATTTTAATTTTAAAGAAAATTTTAATTTGATTTAAGATTATTTAACTTATTACCCATAATGCTTTGTAATGTACAAAAATCTATAGAACACGTTCTAATGCTTTGTAATGTATAAAAATCTATAGAACACGTTCTAAATAACTTGGTAGGAAAAATGCACTATCAATAGTTATAACTTGTTTAAAAAAACAATCATTTACAGCAATGAATTCACAAATAATGGCAAAATTAAAAAAAAGTTATAAAAATAAATTAAATGAAAAATTAAACAAGAGAAAAACAAAAATGAAGAATGTTTTTAATTTACAACAAAAATAATAATAACTTAAAGAATAATAGAAAAAATATATATAGCTTACACCATATATAATATATTATTTAATTATTTAATAAAGTGATGATTTTTAGTTGTTTTTTTTTTATATTAATAAAAATTAGGTGTCTATCCTTTTGTTATATTTTTCTTTAAATTACATATCAATCACTTGCTTATAATTATTACTGTTATCTTTTTTGCTTTCTATTACTACTATTATCTATTATTTTTTTGTTATTAACACTTTTTAATATTTTGTAATACATAATCATACATAAAATAATATAGTTCTATCCAAAGCAAAAAATGTGAAATTATGTTAAACAAATTTCTTAAGCTGGTTCTGAATTAATTATTGTTTAAAGTATAATAAAGTATAAATCTATAATAAGTTTAAGTTTTTAGATTTGTTTAACAAAAAGTAATAAAAATATTTTTTATTGCTCTTTGTTAAAGAATAGCACTTCTAGTTTGACAAATAATACTTTTAGTTTAACAAATATTAACGAATACTATTTGCTATGTGTTTAATGAATATACTATTCAACAGTGCTTAATCATAAACAATAAAAATATGTCAGATCCTTAGATATATTCATAACTTTGAGTGGTTATTGACCGTTGACAGCACATTATTTTGTATGCTGTTAGCAATATTGGTTGCTTGCAGTAGCAACAAAAAATAGGCCTCCCGCAAAATTTTAATCCAGGCCCCTAAAAACTTCTTTGCTTTGCCCACCCTCCCTTCCCATTTCTTGACAAAAATAATTCATGAAAACAAAAACAATTTATCTTCCGTTTTTTTATAGACCGAACTAAAATTTGCTAATTTCTAGAGAGTGAGGAGTATTCCAGAATTGAGAACTTATGAAAGATTTTTTAAATGGAAAAAAATATTTATAGGGGTTTAGATTGGTAAGTTAATATCTGAAATAGAAAAACCCAAGTTGTCATTAAAAGTTCATTAAGGTTTGTATCACTTTTTTAACGATGGAAATTATTCAGAGGGATATTAATATTATTTCTTTTTTATGTGCTCTTTTTGCTTTAAATACTTCAGCTTTTACAGAACGATTAAAAAGATAGCAGTTTATTTTAAGTTTATTATAATCTTTTCTTTCACTTGATATGAACTCTTCCTCAAGTAACTTTGTCGTCCTTCAACCACTCGCAACTTTTCTTTTTAGTAAAAGTTAGTCACTAAATTGCTTGCGGGTTTATTTATTTAAAAAAAATTTTTTTTACTAATAAATTTTTTTTTTAGATCGGCAAGATTGCTTGTAGGTTTGTATTTTAGTTTTTTAATTTTTTTAATAATTTTTTTTAGTTTTGTATTTCATATGAAAAATTTGTTAAGATCAAAAAGTAGAAAATAAAAAATATAGCAAAAAAATTTGCTAAAAACTATAATCTTTTTTGAACTAAAAAGTAAAAAATAAACTTTTTGATTAAAATTTAATAGTTCAGTAAACTAAAGATTGACAGGTATGTTTCTAAATAAATCTTGTGCAGACCTGTCAATCTTTAGTTTACTGAACTATTAAATTTTAATCAAAAAGTTTATTTTTTACTTTTTAGTTCAAAAAAGATTATAGTTTTTAGCAAATTTTTTTGCTATATTTTTTTATTCTTCCACTTAGTTTAGCAGTTGATATACAAAGCAGATTTTTTTGCTCGGTTTTTAATATGTGGAGTATACCAAAGATCATACTTTCATCTTTGTTCTATTAACCTTGGGGATAAAATATTTGCAATCAGTACAATTGTTAGAAATTAATAGGCTAAACATTTGATCCGCTGTTTTTTCTGCAGAAATAAAATATTCCAGTTGATTGATGCAATAACATTTAACATTGAAGCGCAATTACCTTGAACAAAAATTTGATGTCTTTGCTAAATAACTAAAACTAAACAACTAACTGAGATTCACTTTCGGGAAAAGGTTTTGAAACTTATATTCCTCAAGTGATACTAAAGCGGTCGTTAGAATTATTACCTAATATAGCATTAGAAATATTTTAAAATAGAATTACTGCTGTAGGTAAATAACAAGTTCAACATATAGTTTAAGCAACCATACAGTGACTGGACATAGAAAATATGATATGTTAAAACTACCGACAATGAAGCAGCCATCATATGGCTACCTATTTAAGCTATGGGCTAATTTGAAGGATTCAGCATTATATACCATGTTAAATTAGCATCATTTGGTTAATGTATAGTCTAGTTAATTATGTGTTTATTGTTAGCTTTTACAAAAACTTGTTTGAGAAAAGTTTTATAGAACTAATTAACTTAATGAGAGATAAATATACCAGTAATGAAGATAGCTACACTGCCACCTCGACGCCCATCTTAGCAATCTTTTTTTTAAAGCGAGTTATTGTTTTAATACAATAACTTCACTATTGTACTTTGCTTTAAAACTTTACAACATCATACTTAACTTAATTGTATATTTATGAGTCAATACAGTTTGTTTTAATTTTTCAGATATAAATAAATAAGAGACTACTTGAAGTATTAGTCAAGATTTTTATTAAAATGAAAAAAAATAATCTGAAAAAGAGTTTGTAGTTCTTAGCTGTATGATGATAGCCAAAATTTATAATATTGCTATTTTTATATACATGCGTATTATTTTTAAGAATGACAACTTTTAAAAAAGATTTGAAAACTTTGGCTTGGGCTCCTAATAACTCTGGGCCCTCCCGTGGCTGCGGGCCCTTAGCTATGCTACTGGTTGCTTGTAGCCTTGTTGGAAGTAAATATGTTTAAAAAATAAAAAAATAAAAACTCCAACAATATGAACTTTTCCATTTTTTCATTCAATGTATAAACTGTTAATCGTATTCATATTTACATCAATCTTAATTAATCCTAACCTGGGATAATTGCTTTGCATCAAATTACATTTTACAAGAAAATGTTAATAGAATTTTTTTAAATTTTAAGCTTTCAGCGTCACAAGTTACAGTTAGTTTTTTTTATTTTAATTATTCACCTTCCCAAGGCCTGAGGTTACTACAGTCGAGGAGGCTACTAATTTTTTTTTTTTTTTTTTGTTTTTAATTGTGGTACAACCCTATCTCAACTCTTTAACTCCGAAACACGAACCTTGACAAGCAAGGCCGCTGCGGGGAGAAATTAAGTTAAGCGCAATACTTCCAGGGACATGGTGGGAGTCGAACTTCGAACCTCTCGCTTACGAAGCGAGCACTCTTACCACTACACCACTACCGCATGTTTACTTAATTACTTAACTTGAGCAATTTTAAAAAGTTTCTTAAAATTTTTAAAATTAATTTTAATATTTAACAGTCAAATCATAACATTTGATAATGTGAAATTACAACAATATATAAATGAGATACCGTAACTTTAATTTATTAAAAGCAAGTATAAATAGGTATCTTACTAGCGGTGTGCACTCTTGCGCATAATAAAAAGCCATTTCTTTCTGCTGTTTTTTACTCAATTTTTTCTCAAACTGAAGTAACATAGAGGCTTGAAGTAAAGATGCCTGTGCAACACATTTTTTGTATGATGTTGTAAATGCTGATGTAATTAATGCAACTAAAACAGTTAAACAAATAAATGTTGTGAAAATAGTATAAAGTGATATTAAAGTCTGTGCAGCATATTTATCATACGTTGATAACATGAATAAATCATCTTGTCCAAAAGAAGATTCATAAACATGGTAAAACTAAAAAAGATAATGAAAATTAAATATAATGAAAAATAAATAGGAACAACTTTTTTTTGGACAAAAATTTCAAAAATAATAATATAGCATATTGAAAATCTTACAATGCCATCTAAACCTCTAAGATCTAAATCTTCAGAAATTGTTGTAGAGGAAGTAGTAGAGATTGTTGTACTCAAGAAATTGCTTATATTTGTGGCAGTGCTGAAATTATACGACTCCTAAATAAAATGAATGAATCAATATCTCTCGATATAAAAAATAATAGCATCAGTCTGAGGAATGTTTTTTGTAGCTAAACTACTTATGATTTTTTCTAAAAGTTTATTCAAAAAGTTTAAAATCTTAAAAGACTATAAAGTACAACATATAAGGCTTCAAAATGGTAGAAAAACATGAAAAATAATGATTTTAAATGTGTAAAAAACAATAGAAATGACAGATACTTTTTAAAAAATTAATTACTTTAAAATCTTGAGAAAAATTCAGCAAAATTTTAAAAAATTTATGAAAAAATATTAATTTCTTTTTTAATTATGTTAAAACCTTTTTTCAACCTTTAAATTCTTACCACAACAACAAACATGGCCACTGCACAGAGAAACAAGCAGAATATTCATAAAAAAAAATTCCTTTACTTGATGAAACTTAAGTAAATTAAATACAATTAGTTATATATACATATTAATCTTTGAAAATTATATACAGCTATGTTCTATCTGTTTTTATTGTCATGTTACTCAATTATGTTAAAACAACATATGCATCATATAAAGCTATACTTACACATCTGAAACATACAGTGTGAAAAAAAAGGTAGTTGTATGCAAGACTTAAGAAACTTTACAAACTATTAAACTTTTTTATATGTAAATATAAAAGCAGTTCTAGTCTAAATACTTTTGTTAAATATATTAAATGTACCGTAAAATTAGTGGTGTTAGACAAATTTGATATATTTGAATTGTCCACATTTGAATTTGCAACAGGAACAACACCAAATGTTACCCAAAATACTGCGACAAAAGGAATAAAGAATTGCAGGTAAAAAAAAGCAATTTGTATAAAAGCTCTAATTGCAAGACCTATTTAAAAAAATGGAAATCAAACATAAATTATATATATGTAAATATATGTATTATATATAAATAAATATATATATATATATATATATATATATATATATATATATATATATATATATATATATATATATATATATATATATATCTATATATATATATATATATATATATATATATATATATATATATATATATATATATATATATATATATATATATATATATATATATATATATATATATATATATATATATAATATATATATATATATATATATATATATATATATATATATATATATATATATATATATATATATATATATATATATATATATATATATATATATATATATATATATATATATATATACTCAAGATGCATCTCAGTTTTGCAAAAAGTTTAACAAAAATGAAAAGTGTTTGATAAAACACTTTTCATTTTTGTTAAACTTTTTTATATATATAAACATTTTTTTTTTTTTTCAACATCACTTCTAACAAGGCTGCAAGCAACCACTATTAGAGTTGAAAAGATGAGGCCTATAGAGCAAGATAACGATTGACAGACAACTTAAAATATTGCAAATTATATGAATCAGGAAAGCAAGGATGCAAATTCCTAAGAACTGATGTTTGAGGAAAAAACTAGATGAATAAGAGTTTTTAGAGCATTTAAGAACAGTCACAGAAAAAGGATGAGACTTAGTTGAATGATAAGTAACATGAGAATGTATTTAATTTTCTTATCTGCTTTTACTCTGTATCTGGCATTATAATAGAAAGCACCACATTTTTTCCTGATAATTAAACTTCATAAAGATTTCATCATCTTCAATAATTCAGAAGTTTTTAGAAATATAATTGTCAGAAAACTTTTTTAGCTTTACTTTTTTTTTGTTACACTTTTTGTGATTTGAAAGCTTGAACTTTTCAAACAAAAATATAAGAAAATCCTTTTTTAGCGCACGTTTCTAAAGTGAGAGGCTTGGATTATTCATAAAACTGTTAACCAGTTTCTAACAAGTTTTATATCTTGAAAAATCTTCTTTCCTCCATTACTTGCATTGGATCGAATTTGTTTGGGAAAAGGTTAAATAACATGAATAATGGTCTTGGGATGTATTTGCAACTTTTTTACAACAATTTTTTACCACTGCCTTAAAACGTACGTTACATGAATAATTAATGAGCTATTACATTTTTAGAAAAAAGTCTTTAGCCTTATGATCCTGACATAAAATTTTTTTTTCAGGTTTTACAAACAATTGTATTTCATTTAACATACTTAAAAACCAGCAAAATGAAAAGAATGAGATTATTTTTATTTTTTCTGATGATTTGACATAGAATGCCGGAAATAGGATGAATGTATGCAACCATCCGAAGAAGTCTATACTATTTAAACTTATGATTTATTATTGTGCAGCTCTTGTTTTAATGAAACATAGAACACAATGATCTAGTTGATAAACTTTAATATATCAATTTTCTATGATACAACTACTTAAATAAAATTCCTTAACTGTTTACCTGCAACCTTTAGATATACAGCAAAATATCTAAATCGAATGCAAATTTTCAAAACACGCAAAAACGATATCATCAAGCCAATTGCAAATATACATTTGTGAGTAAGGTAAGATGCTTTTGTTGAAATGTAAGCATCAATTATTCTTGTAATAATAATAGCTGCAATAATTATCAACATACTAAATTCATAAAAAATCCAAAATTGTTGTTTCTTTGCAAGACTAGGTGACCCTTGAAGCCTTTCTATTTCAACATCAACATTTTGTCGGTCACTAGGCCATGCTGGATGACAATATGGATATTTTGAGCGAAGCTTGTGCCTTCTCATTTCAACCCATGCTGTTTGGGCTTTAACGGTCTCCCTAATTCTTGTAACATCCTAAAGAAAACATGTAGAAATATTCAATAATTATAAACTTACATGTAAAGTATTCATATACTACTAGCTAAGATTGGACCCGTAAAAACACGAGTATTTGTAAGTCTATTCCAAACAAAACTTTTCTATACTTTTTCCTTATATATTCTAGCTTTCCAGATCTGTAAAACATGGGTCTTTACCAAACCTACCATTTTTATACATATCTATTCCACACCGATTATTTCTATACCTATTCCTTATTTGCTTCATTATTTTTTAGTAAAATTATTTTTTCTGAAAAAAAACTTTAAGCGCAAAAAACTTAACAGACGCACCTTTTCCATATACATAGAGCTTATAAGAGACTTATAATTAGGTTTGTTTTTCTGCATTTCATTGATAGCACAGTGGTCACGTGTTTGCATTAGTTTGTGGCAAAATAAACTTTTAAACATCAAGTTTCTTTTTGCCTTTATCTAACATTTTTTGATTAATTTTAATTATGTTGCATATAAGCTTATAAAAGACTTATAATTAGGTTTGTTTTTCTGCATTTCATTGATAGCTTAGTGGTCACATGTTTGCATTAGTTTGTGGCAAAATAAACTTTTAAACATCAAGTTTCTTTTTGCCTTTATCTAACATTTTTTGATTAATTTTAATTATGTTGCATACAATTGCACAAAAAGATATAAAAACTGGTAGACATATGTCATTTAACAGATAATAGTTATAAATAATAAATAATTTTTGTCTTTAATAGAATATATTCCATAAAAATGTATTATATATTTTTAATAAAAGAAGTATTCCTAAAAAATTTAAATAAAATCTAATTTCTAGTTTGTTTTTCTAGTATTTACCCACAAAGTGAAATACGCAAAAAAATTGTAGTTTCAGTGATTTACAAAAAAGCCTCGCTTATCATTTTTAATGGTCTAAGAAGCAGATGATGTAGTTTAGCAACCAGAAATTATCAAGAGAGGGGCAAATCTAAAATTGAAGTTTCAATCTTGTCAATTTTTTAAAATATAATAACATAAATACAAAAAATCAAAACAAAATAGGTTGAGCAAAAAGACTTGTAATTATTAGAAAAGTTTTCTTATATTATATACGATCCTGAATTAAAACGTTATATAAGTAGATTTTTTACATTTTATAATCGATATACATAAACAAATAACTGCTTGTTTATATATATTGTTTAATAGAGATGGTTAAGCACCAAACCTGCTTATACAAAAAAATTTGAAAAAAATTAGTTTTTTTATTAAAAAATGATATATATGTTTCTTTGCAAACACCAATATACTATATTTAAAATTTTAAAGTGCACTGAACTGCAATTACTTTTAACTTTTTTGGTTTAGTGGATTTTGTTAAGAGCTTTTAAATTTTGCGTCTTTATTTCATTTTAACATATTTGTTGTATCATCCATTCTGCGTCTGTTTTTTAAAACCCAAAAAAGTAAAAAAAATCTATTTTGACTTTTTTACAAAATAAGCTAGTTTAGATGTTTAAAAGTTTTAAAATATATAAAAATTTTTAAATGGAAATAAATGCTATAGATTAAAATATGGCAGATGATGCTGAAATGCAGTTTTTAAGTGAAAGTCAAACTGTAAAACTTGATACAATGTTTTAACATTACATAATTTCCCAGCAAACATTTTGTCTAAAAAAGACGTTTTTAATATGTCTTTTAAACGTATTAGTCGTTTTTAATACGTATTAAACACGTTTATTTTAGACCGAATGTTTGCCGGATTCAAGTATACATACTTATAAAAAACATAACACTAGATTTTGTGTTTTTAACAGGAAAATTACTGTTATGTTTAATGTATAATTCGAATGAAAAAACATAACAACAAATATTATGTTTTTTTCATAGAAATCTTACATTTAACATAACAAATAAATTACCTTCATGTTTGATGTATAATTTGTATGAAAAAAACATATTTTATTGAAAAAACATTTAAATTCAGCACAAATGCTTTTTTGAAACAATTTCTTTAATATGAACTCCACTTGACAGTCCGAGATCCCTTTAAATGTTTGTAAAACAAAATTTAATAAAAACACAGAAATGATAATACCTAATAATAATAAAAAAAAGGAATTACTAACAAATAATACATTTAACAATAATAATATTATTACTTGATAATATTTTTGTAATAACATAATTATAAACATAATTAACATAATTATTAGTTATTAAATAACTAATGGCATATTCGTAATGTTTCTTCTTGTAAAACCACAATACTAAGTAAAATTTAACAGAGCGCTCTGAGTCTCTAATATCAGCATAAAAATGCATCATTGACTTTTCTAGAACACATCAGAAAGTTAATGTGAAGTTTTTTTTTTTAATTAAAAGTGTTTAATAATTTGTAGTCATTTCTTATGATTTGCCAACATGATCATTGGAAATTATATCACCATAATAGCAATACTGTGAAGTAATAAAGGTAGCGTGAAAGTAATAAAGCTTACCAACTGAGATTAATTACAAACATTTGATTGGATAAGAAGTTAGCATAAGTCACTCATCAGTTAAGGATTCATTAAAGAAACCATTGATTTTTAATTATATAAAAAAACTATCAAGATTAAAAATCAATATGTTCAAACTTTGAATCCTGATAAAGAAAACTCTATTAAAAAATTATCAAGACTAAATTCTGTCTTATCAAGACTAATAACTGTTGCCATGGAAAAAACATGGAAAAATCAAAACAAGCAGGAAAGCAAGTTACTTGCCTCATAAATGATGTTTCAAAGCTTAGAGAGTATAACATTAATACCATTATTAGTAGCATACACCATTAATGACCGCAAATTCTTTATTATTAGTGATAGTCACAAGTTTATTAATTGGCAGATGAACTAATCAACTAGGAGACTTTCATTAGCACTGAAAATATATGTTGTGTATATATATTTGTTATACTAAATATTAAGAACTTTTATTGATATTATAACTTTAAAAAAAAAAAATTATTGAATTTTGGGAACTTTAAACCCATTGGGAAATGTGGTATATGCAGTGCTATTGGGCTGGTTAACACTCTGATATATATATATATATATATATATATATATATATATATATATATATATATATATATAATATATATATATATATATATATATATATATATATATATATATATATATATATATATATATATATATATATATATATATATAAATATATAAATATATATATATATATTAATTCACCTCCCGAAGCCAAGATGGCCACTACAGTCAAGGAGGCTACTTTTGTTGTTACGACCTTCTCTCAGCTCTATAACTCCGAAACACGAACCTCGAGGAACAAGGCCGCTGCGCGGAGAAACAAATTGAGCACAGTACGACTAGGGATGTGGTGGGGATTGAACTCGAAACTTCTTGCTTATGAGGCAATATATATATATATATATATATATATATATATATATATATATATATATATATATATATATATATATATATATATATATATATATATATATATATATAAATAGTATTGCGTACTAAGGTAAGCAACCTGAAGTCATACTGAAATAGCCTGCAGCCGGGGGCTTCAGTACATACATCGACTAACAAATACCTTGATTCGCAGTGGAGTGCTGCTACAACGACTGAGGGTTTGGGATAGGGTAACTATTGTTTCATTCATTATTCTTCATTTTATTTCTTCTTTTTCTAAATTAGAGATTTAAAACAAGGTTTGACAAAAAATCAGGATGTTTTTTGGAAAATGCATATCATAAAATTTTGATAAAATACTTCAATTTTGAAAAAGGGTTTTAAATAGTTTTCTCTTTTATGATACACTACTTTAATTACTAGCAGGTCGTTAAAGTGAAAAGTTTGAAAGTGAATAGAAGTTGAAGCAAATTTTTTCTTTAATTCTTTGATTTTGAATACTGCCTAATTTTTACCTTTGTTTTCAAAATGATCAAATAAATTTATTTTTTATAAATATAACTAAAAAAATTAAAATTAAAAACTTATTAATAATTTATATCAACATAATTCAGTAATTAAAAGTTAATAATTTATTAATAATTTAGTATTATTAATTCCGCTACTTATGATATTTTTGAATATGTATAAAATTTATCATTGTTAAAACTTCCATCTAATAATTATTGCACATTAATAAAAACCAGTAATTTTTCTGCTTTAACAACCCTGAACTTTATGATTCTCTTTCTTGACGAATTTATTGCTCAAGACTTAGGTAAGGTATACATAACAACCTTAACTATAATCATAATAATCATAAGTTTTTTGTTTTTTAGTAAAAAATCCTTTTTTCTTAAATGATTGAAGTTCTTATTTTATTACTATTTTAATATAAAAATTTTATGTTTTATTTTGTTAATAATATAATAATATAAAATAAATTATGTTTTTAACTATAAACAGTTTTCTTTTTGTCTCATCTGCACTTAATTTGTTTTATATTTTTTTAAGTCTTATTATTTATTTCCTCATAAGTTTTGCAGTAAATTGCAAATAAATGAATGAATGGTTTATAGATTAATTAAAAATTATTATTTGAGCACTGGCCCATTTTTTTTTTCCTCTTGTAACAGGATTATTAAAAAATATATATATAGATTTATTAAAAATCTTGTTTTATGTAAATTTAAATATTTTTATTTATTATTATTCGAAATTATTATATGTAATTAAGAACATAATCTCAACTGTACTTTTTTTTTCATTTTATCTTTTCTATTATTTTTTGCTCGGCTTTTACCACCATTTGCATAGTCATTGCAATCAAATGAATTATTTTTAATTAAATTAAAAATTATAAATTGCCTGTTTGTGCTTTTAAAAAAAGCATTGATTTTATTTATAATTGTTATTATTAAAACAATTTTTTACTCTTCAAGCCATATCCCTTCAAGCCTTAACTTTTTTTTGGATTTATAAAGTTTAGTCATGAAGAATGGTTCAGGTTCATTAAAGCAAGAAAAAA